CACATAAAGGTTCTTTGAGGTCTTCACCGGCTCACACCTGTAACCCAGCACTTGGGAGGCCAAGGCAGGCAGATCACCTGAGGTCAGGAGTTCAAGACCAGCCTGGCCAACATGATGAAACCTTGTCTCTACTAAAAATACAAAAATTATCTGGGCGTGGTGGCACATAACTGTAATCCCAGCTACTTGGGAGGCTGAGGCAGGAGAATCACTTGAACCCAGGAGGCGGAGGTTGCAGTGAGCCGAGATCGCACCATTGCACTCCAGCCTGGGTGACAAGAGTGAGACATTGTTTCAAAACAAACAAGCAAACAAACAAAGGTTCTTTGAGGTCTTCAGTGATTGTTGAGAGTATAAAGCATTCTTGAAAGCAAAAGGTTTGAGAACTGCTGTTCAAATGAAATAAATGTTTATTGTAATTGTTCAGTAGATAGCAGTTGTTCTTATATTTATATGTCTATCACAACTCCTAGTTGGAATACAGATAGATATCGGCCAGTCCAAAGTTTTTCATTTATTAAACTGTTTCTGGTGCTGGCTTTACAACTTGAGTCAGAATCAAATTGTCCTATAATGCAGGAACAAAAGAAAGCTGACCTTTCCCTCTGTGGATCTCAATTCCTGTTCCAAATACAAGCCTAAAATAAATTAACCTGTTTCTTTGGTTCAGTTGTATATGTGGGTTTTGCACGCTTATTTTTAAGTAATCGAATATCTAATCCAATGGAAATGTCTGTTGGAAGTATAGGGTTAATTACTAATATATTTTGCCCTACTTCACAAGTAAAAATTAAATATCAGAAAAATATAACTTGAATTCACTGTTTTGAAACTAATAGCAACAAGCTTGTGATATTTGAATGTTAGGATTTCCTAATCAGATCTGATTGTTAGGTGAAAAGGTAACCTTTCGGCCATAGAGATGTTCTTTGCTTAAATTTACAAGAGGAATAGTCCTACTATAAATAGTCCAGCTGACATTTAAATACCTGACATAAGAAACTAACACATTTTTTTGTCTTGCCAAAAAGAGCAACTCAAAATAGAGGTCACATGTATAATACAGCTTCCATTCAGTAATGAAAGGCTCAGCTATAGAAGCTGTTATACTTGGCCATTTATTTGGTAGTCTTAACACTTTTGTTTATTTATTTGTTTGTCTGTCTGTTTTTGGAGATGGAAGTCTCGCTGTGTCACCCAGGCTGGAGTCCAGTGGCGTGATCTCAGCTCACTGAAACCTCCGCCTCCAGGGTTCAAGTGATTTTTCTGCCTCAACCTCCCAAGTAGCTGAGACTATAGGTGCACACCACCACGCCTGGCTAATTTTTGTATTTTTAGTAGAGAGAGAGTTTCACCATGCTGGCCAGACTGGTCTCGAACTCCTGAGCTCGTGATCTGCCCACCTCGGCCTCCCAAAGTGCTGGAATTACAGGCGTGAGCCACTGTGCCCCATCTTTTTTTTTTTTTTTTTTTTTTTTAAAGAGACAGGTTTTTGCTGTGTTGCCCAGGCTGGAGTGCAGTGGCATGATCATAGCTCACTGCAGACTTGACCTCCCAGGCTCAAGCAGTCCTCCTGTCTCAGTCTCCCAAGCAGCTGAGACTACAGGTGTGCACCACCACACCCAGCTAATGTATGTATTTATTATTTTTTATTTATTTTTGTTTTTAAGACAGGGTCTCACTCTGTCGCCCAGGCTGGAGTGCAGTGGCGCAATCTCTCACCTCACTGCAACCTCCGCCTCCCTGGCTCAAGTGACCCTCCCACCTCAGCCTCCTGAGCAACTAGGACTACAGGTGGGCACCACCATGCCCAGCCAATTTTTGTATTTTTTTGTAGAGATGAGATTTCTCCATGTTGCCCAGGCTGGTCTTGAACTCCTGGCCTCAGACGACTGTCTTGGCTTCTCAAAGTGCTGGGATTGCAGGTGTGAGCCACCATACCCAGCTGACCAAGTTTTAGTAACATTAAAAACATTGTCCACTAAAAGTCACTTAAGGAATGCTGTTAAGTGAGATTCCTCCTCAGAGAAGAACGCTTGATCCTTAGTGAGATAAAGTGCTGGACAACCAAAGCCCTAAAGAAGCTGAGGGAGCTTGGCTTATGGATTCCTAGGGGAAGGAGCCTTCTGGACAGCAGGAATGACAGGCACACGGGCCCTGAGTAGGTTCTTGTGTGGGATACAATTGAAATGGTTCCTAATTGGTTTTTTGTTATGCAAATAACATGGGATTGTTGTAAAAAATCAGGAAATAGAGAAAGTAGGGGGAATCATCCATAATTCTTTTACCCAGAGATAACTGTTAACATCTTGTTCTGTATCCTTACCAACTCTATAAAGCTTCTTAAGATGTCACTTATCGGCCGGGCGTGGTAGCTCATGCCTGTAATCCGAGCACTTTGGGAGGCCGAGGCGGGCGAATCATGAGGTCAGGAGATCGAGACCATCCTGACTGTCATGGTGAAACCCCGTCTCTACTAAAAAATAGAAAAAAATTAGCTGGGCGTGGTGGCAGGCGCCTGTGGTCGCAGCTACTCGGGAGGCTGAGGCAGGAGAATGGTGTGAACCCAGGAGGCAGAGCTTGCAGTGAGCCGAGATCACGCCACTGCACTCCAGCCTGGGCGACAGAGCGAGACTCTGTCTCAAAAAAAAAAAGAAAAAACAAGATGTCACTTCTCATCTGTATGGGTTTGCTAGTGCTGTCATAACAAAATCCCATAGACTGGGTGGGGGCTTAACAAATTTCTCACAGCTCTGGAGACCAGAAGCTCAGGATCAAGGTGTCAGCAGGTTTTGTCACATTCTGAGGTGCTGGGAGTTAGGACTTCAGTACGTAAATTTGAGGGAAACACAGTTCAACCGTAACACCATCTGTGAACAATACCTCGGTCATTAGCCTTCCTATCAATATGATTTTGTGTTCTTTTGATCTTCATTTTTATTAGTGTAGGCTTATAAATTAACCAGTAGTAAGGCAGTGACTTTTCTCCCCCAGCCTAATTAGGATCATTAAAGATTTAGATTGAACCCTTTTGAACAACAGTTGTGTTGTCTGACTTTTTTCCTGTAATGTCACCACTGTCTTTCAGTTTTATGTTTGCTAGAGAAGACTTAGTCCCGTGTAGCTGAATAATCCAGTTGGCTGCTGTGCAGATGAAAATGCCAGTGTTTTCCAAACAAGCAGTTCAAGTATGCTTGTAGGTTTTGCTGTTTCCTTTCAAATACCATATGTAGTATTATTTAACATTTTTTTGTAATCAACTGACTCTTTTGCTTACATTTATTTTAAAGGAAACTTTTACCATTGTTATGGATGGGAAGTTTGTATATTACTTATCTTAAATAAATTATTCTTAAACATAAATACATGACTGTAAAACGAAGTGTTCAGTCACATACCACCTAAAGTCCTCTAACGTACCACTACAACTCCGTCCTTCAGTTGCTTGAAACCCAGGAGCTGTAGTTGACTCTTGTCTCTCACACCTCACAGGCAACCTGATAGCAAATCTCCACAGCTCAGACCTCTCAAATGCCTAGAATTACGCCGTTCCTCACTACTTTCCTGCTATCACCCTGGTCCAAGCCAGTATTACCTTTTGCTAGGACTATTGCAGTATCCCCCTAGCTGTTTCTGCTCTTGCTCCCTTCACTCTCGTCCTCATGCAGCAGTCTGAGAGACAGATCATGTCACGCAGTAACAGTTGGCATCCTTAATCTCCTCTTGCTCTCTCATCCCTCACTTGGTGTAAGCTAAATTGGCCTCCTTGCTGTCCTTTGACACCTTAAGCAAGCCTCTATTTTAGGGCCTTTGCACTTGTTTGCTCTGTCTCAAAGACTTTCCCCTCAGCTATCCATAAATCATGCCCTGTCACCTTCTTCAGGTCTTTAGTTATGACACCTGATTGCAATAACACTTTTCCTCGATCACTCCATTTGAAAGTATTGCCCGTCCCCTATTACTCCCTGCTCCAGAACAGCAGAATCTATCATACTGTATAATTTACATATTCATTTTTGTCCATTATATGTCTCCTACTAGAATGTAAGCTGCAGGCATTTTTGTTTTATTCACTGCTTGTTCTTCAGTGCTTAGAAAAGTGCCTGATGTATAATAGGTGCTCAAATATTTATTCCAATTACATTAATGTCATGTGTCCTACACTTTGGGAGATGCATATACTGGCAACACCTCCCACAATTTGGGGTCCCTCAAGTGAGCCTCTCTTCACAGTCACATGGTTAGTCCTATTTGTCTCTTGAGAGTCTGGCCAATATTCTGTTCTGGAAGACACCTAGAAATGGCTCAAGTCTCAGCCTGAACCCGGTACTGCGTCTTGAACCTCTGAGATGTTTTCATGTGTTGCTTTCAAGAGCTACTTGCCAGGCTTTGGGATTTTGGGGAAAAAATTAGAGAGCCAGCTATTCCCTTTTAGCTTTTTTGTAAGTTAAAAGAGAAACTATCGTTTAAATAATTGAAAAACAATAGAACATTTTATCCTTGGTGCCTTCAATTGACTCTTAGTTGATTAAGAGGACACCATTTTTATTTGCCATATCCATGGTGACTATTCCTCCTAAAGGTTGTTTGAGAGTCATGCCAACAAATAAGCATAGTCTCAGCCTCTTGTCTTCCAAGGTACTTTTGTTAGCACTTGATATTGATGGTTTTCATCTCACACTAGTTAACCCCAATTAATAGACATTTAGACATGTAAGCCCCTTATAAGGTTTGTCCGAGGGGTGGGGGTGGGGTATCTAAGTTTGGTTATCTAGCCCTAGTCACTTCACCTGTCAGAGAACCATGTGCCCCTTCCCTCTGTTTGTGCTGGTTGATACTGATAGCTTTATAAGTGGCAAGTTTGAGGTGTGATAACTTCCCATGATTTTTTTTGCATGTTAGCATCTTTATTCCCAGGGAGCGATAATGAACAGCTAGCTCTAGGCTTACAAGTTCCCCTGGAGTTGCTGGTATCTTGAATTTCTTTCCATTTATTTTAGGAGTTAAAGTCCCTCGCAATTTCCGACTGTTGGAAGAACTCGAAGAAGGCCAGAAAGGAGTAGGAGATGGCACAGTTAGCTGGGGTCTAGAAGATGACGAAGACATGACACTTACAAGATGGACAGGGATGATAATTGGGCCTCCAAGAGTAAGCGTCGAGCTACGGCTATAAATGTCAATGTCTTAAATTCACTGTGCCTCCTTTTAGAAAAATCCTAGCCTTATCACGGAAAAAAAGCTCACCAATGGTATATTTTCTGAAATGTGGCTATTCTTTTTTGACCAGTTTCAGTTTATATATTTGAACCTCCTCTGATGCTGTTTAACCCCTCTAAATGGTAAGCAAAAATCTGTTTAGACTCATAGTGTGAATTTATATGACAATGTAGACAGTAAGGTATGAGGTCATTGCACCCTCAGATGTCATTCCGAACAATCTCTGGATTAACCAAATAACTAGGCCCTAGGTATAGCCAGCATTCCTGAAGCTAGTCTCCAAATGAACTCTGAAAAGCCTTCCCAGTTGTTGTTTTTCTTCACTGTCTCCCAGGTCTGCCGTGCACCTGTATCCTCATGCCAGCCTGTCAGCTCCTGGTCTATTCCAGGCACTGCTAGACCCAGAGGCCTTTGCAAAGAAGACCAAGACAATGAGGATGGGGAAAAGTGGCCTCTTTCAGAACTTTCTGATTTGTGAGAGTTCCCAGTCTTCATAATGCCAGCCAACCATTTTTCGAGGACACATAGTAAACCCTCAGGAAATGTCTCTCAACTCTCACAAAACCCTATTGTTAGGTGCAATTGCATTCCATTTTACAGATGAGGAGACAGACTCAGAGGAGTCAAGTCTCTTGCCCAAAGTCACATAGCTGGTAACCCCCAAATCAGATCTGACTCCAGAGCCTGTGCTCTTAACCACTGTGCCGTGGTGTCTCCCTTTTGTTTACATTTTGAGTTTTCATCTGTTACCATTATAGAAGATACTAATCAAGTAGTAACTTGATGTAGGAGTCAAGAAATCAATTTCCATACTGTGACACACTTCAGACAAGCAGTGAGAGCTTCTGCCTGAATGTGGCAAGACCTGTCCTGTGTCTGCTTGTGTTTAAGGATGATGACGACGTTCATTCGTTTGATTGTGTACAGGACTTTGCACTAGCACTGTGGGAGCAGAAAGACATGCAGGGCGTGGCCCCGGCTGGAACAGGGACAAGTGACTGTTCATTAAGTGTTAGGACACTAATGCTCATCTCAGATGGTCATCAACACTCATGGTGAATGATTGGCTTTACCATTTAATGTTGCTTCTTGAGTCATTTTGTGACTCTGTAGTTTTGTGGAGTTTTAAAAATATATACATTCGATCTGTTTTTACTCACTTCTTTATCCTTTTTTTCTATGAAAACTAGAATGTTCTGTATCTGCTAAATACTGGGGAAAACCCAATCTAGAAATCCTGTTTCTCCATGGAGATAATTTTCTTTACTGTCTCTGAAGGTCCATCATATGCTGACGTCTTCTTCACTGCATGTCTTCTCTTCCTAAGAATGATTTTGGTTTCTTGAGGATGAGAACTGTGCTTCCCTCCTTACTTCCCAGAATACCTAGAAATGGGGTACTCAATAGGTTTGCTAATCAACTTCATGATTTACAGGTTCTAAAATACTGAGAATGGAACCAGTATACAACATTGTGATACACTAAATACCACTGAATTGTACACTTTCAAAAAAACACACAAAATAATGAATCAGTAAGTTCTGCTGAAAATATTCTATCCACGTGAAATAGCTTGGGCTACCCTGAATTTCAGTTTATCTCTTTCCAAAAGAGGCTTTGGAAGTTGTAATGAGTAGCTATGGTATGCCAGGTGTCCTCCATATGTATATATATATATATATATATATATATATATATGTTTGTTTGTTTGTTTTTTTGAGGCGGAGTCTTGCTCTGTTGCCAGGCTGGAGTGCAGTGGCGCAATCTCAGCTCACTGCAACCTCCACCTCCTGGGTTCAAGCAATTCTCCTGCCTCAGCCTCCCGAGTAGCTGGGACTACACGAGCGCCACCACGCCCAGGTAATTTTTGTACTTTTTAGTAGAGATGGAGTTTCACCATGTTTGCCAGGATGGTCTCGATCTCTTGACCTCGTGATCCGTCCACCTCGGCCTCCTAAAGTGCTGGGATTACAGGTGTGAGCCACCACGCCAGGCCTCATGTATTTGTTTTTAGTAACAGCTTTATTGGGATAGAATTCACCCTTTTAAATGTACAGTTCAGTGGTCTTATATTCAGAGTTGTACATCTGTCACTAATTTCAGAACATTTTCATCACCTCAAAAAGAAACCCCATACTCATCAGTAGGCACCCCCCATTCTCCCTCCCACATGCCCCATTTCCCATCTTTGACAATCATCAGTCTACTTTCTAGCTCAATGAATTTGCCTTTTCTGAATATTATAAAAATGGAATTCTACAGTATGTGGCCTTTTGTGACTGGCTTCCTTTACTCAGCATAATTTTCTCAAGGTTCAAGCATACTGTAGCATCTGTCAATACTTTCATTCTTCTTATGGCCGGATAATATTCCATTGTACAGGTATGCCATATTTTGTTCATTTGTTGATGAACATTTGGGTTGTTTCTACCTTTTGGCTATTATAAATCATGCTGCTAGGAACGTTTATATTAGAGGTTTGTAAGTGGACATATAGTTTCTTTTTTTTAATCTACACCTGCTGGAATGGATGGACATAGTTTTTGTTTTTGGCTACCTAATTTTTCCTCCTTTGAAGATAGATATATATTATATATGTTCTATATTATATAACATTATATTATATATATATTATATACAATTATATTACATTTATTACATATTACACATGTAAATATGTTACATATATAATTGTATAATATAAATATAATATATTATAATTATATATAATTATATATTATTTAAAGAAAAGCAAATCCTCTGCGCCTATATTATATATAAAACATATATAATATATATTATACATAGCATATGTAATATATATTATCCATAACATATATAATATATAACATACGATATATTATATATGTTATATATATATGTATATTTTTTTGAGTTGGAGTCTCCCTCTGTCTCCCAGGCTGGAGTGCAGTGGCACAGTCTCAGCTCACTGCAACCTCTGCCTCCTGGGTTCAAGCAATTCTCTGTCTCAGCCTCCCGAGTAGCTGGGATTACAGGTGCCTGGCACCACGCCCAGTTAATTTTGTATTTTTAGTAGAGACAAGGTTTCACCATCTTAGCCAGGCTGGTCTTGAACTCCTGACCTCATGAGCGACCGCGCCCTTCCGGAGATACAGAGTTTGAATTCCCCTGGGTGTATACCTAGGAGTGGAATTGCTGGATCATGTGGTAACTGTGTTTAACATTTGGAGGAGGCCGGGCGCGGTGGCTCACGCCTGTAATCCCTGCACTTTGGGAGGCCGAGGCGGGCGGATCACGAGGTCAGGAGATCGAGACCATCCTGGCTAACACGGTGAAACCCCCTCTCCACTAAAATACAAAAAATTAGCCGGGCGCAGTGGCGGGTGCCTGTAGTCCCAGCTACTCAGGAGGCTGAGGCAGGAGAATGGCGCTAACCCGGGAGGCGGAGCTTGCAGTGAGCCGAGATCGAGCCACTGCACTCCAGCCTGGGTGACAGAGTGAAGACTCCGCCTCAAAAAAAAAAAAAAAAAAAAAAAAAAAAAAAAAAAAAAAAAAAAACATTTGGAGGAAATGCCAAACTGTTTCCCAAAGCGACTGCGCCATTTTACATTCCTACTAGCAATGCCTGGGAGTTCCCATTTCTCAACATTCTCACCAGTACTTGTTACTGTCTTTTGACCCCTTTAGTTTTTATTATCCTGGTTCCCCAAGGTTAGAAACTAAGTCATAAAAGGAACTATCTGCATGTAGGTGCTTCCTGTGACCATTCTTTTATGATTAGCACATGAGCTGTTCGCTATATAACTCGAATATCCACATAATTATTACAGCATCTAAATAGAGCACTTGAGTAACTCATCTCCCTATTATAGTTTTGTTTTTGTTTTACTCAAAAAAATGTTTTCCATCAAAATTTCAAAGGTTTGTACCATATGGTCCACGAATTCTTCTAGGAATTTACTTTCCAGCTTCTCTTCAATGTATTGCCCAAAGGCAATGTACAAAATTATTTCATGCAGCATTGTCAGTAGTAGCAAAATATTGGAAACAACATCATCTTTGAGTACACCATATTATTTCCTGTTTAGCTGTTGAACAATGAGACAGGTTTATGTGTGCTGAAATGGAATGATCTCCATGATATTGTGAAAAAGTAAATGGAATGATCTCCATGATATTGTGAAAAAGTAAATTATAAAGCAGGAGACAGAGTATGCTGCCAGTTGGAGTCGGGGGCCATGGGGGCAGAGGAAGAGCTCATGCATACACTGCTTCTGTGTGCTTAGAATACCTCTGGAGGAATGGAAAAGAAGCTGCTGACAGTGATTGTCTTCTTCAGAAGGGAGCTGGCTGGCTAGGGCTAGAGTGGAAAGGAAACTTACTTTTTACCATATACCCTTCTGTACTCTTTGAATGTTTTAGTCATATATGTGTGCTGTTTGAATAGTGCCCCCACCTTTTTTGTTTGTTTGTTTGTTTTTATTTAAAGAAAAGCAAATCCTGCAAGCCTAAAAACAAAGCTTCTGAGCCAACTACTCCTTGCATAATTCTGGCAAATGTCTGGCTGTCCATAGCATTAGACATGGAGTATTTCTACTTTGACCACAGAAGTACTAACAATAGTCAAGTTATATAGAGCAGGGTTTCTCAGCCTCAGCATATTGGGCTGGTTCTTTTCTTTGTCATGGGGGTGCTAGGTGTGTGCATTGTAGGCTGTTTAGCAGCATCCCTGGCCTCTACTCACTAGATGCCAGCAGTACCCCGTCTCCATTGCAACAGCTATAAATGTGTCTAGACAGTGCTTGATCCTCCCTTCCCCTTCCCAGCAGAGGGGCAAAAATTGCCCTCGTTGAGAAGCACTATTGTGCCTCTGGGATTCTCCAAAATAGTGTTTTTTCTGTTTTTTCTGTTTTTTTTTTTTTTTTTTTTTTTGAGATGGAACCTTGCTCT